GGGACATGGCCCAAAGTGTGTGTGAACACATGTCTGTGATAAATAGACTGCTCAACACTAAATGCAAGACTAAGATAACAATATGAGTGGTTCACCCTAATCAAAGGACTAGGATTACATTCACTCACTACAACAAAAAGCATTTTTTGCGATGATTTTTTTCATGACAGTGGTGGCTGGCTTTGCGTGACAGCGAGAAGATAGCAGCAATGGAGAGAATTTTTGGAGGAATGAAATAATTGACCTAGGGCATGAGATATTAGGAAAGCAAAACGACGTAATTTGGGATTAATAGTATCAAAATGATGTAGTTTTAATCAAGAAGAGTTGTTTTTTAAAGACTAAAAACGAATTCGTTTTTCTTTTTTAAAATATTAAATTTTGCGACGTAAGTTAAAACGTCGTAATAAAAATTTCTAAATAAATTATAATGATGTATATCAAAAAACGTCGTGAATTAATTTTTTTTTTTAACTTTAATTTTGATTTCTATACAAAAATAAAATTTAAATTCTACGACGAAAAATTAAACATCGCGTAAAAAATTCCTAGCAAAATGTCGCGATAAAAATTCCAAGCCAAATTATTGCGACATAAATAAAAAATGTCGCTACTTAATATTTTGATTTTATTTTTACTTTAATTTTGATTTAAAAAATAAAATTTATATTTTGTGATCAAAAATTAAATGTTGTGATAAAAATTTGTAAAACATTTTTTACGGCGCAAATAAAAACATCGGGAAATAATATTTTGACTTTATTTTTTTTTATTTTTGCTACGATTCAATACTATCTACGACAAATAATATTTGTTGTAAAAAAATTGTCAATTCTCATCATTTCTCGCGCCAAAAAAAATTGGGAGGGAACGCTATTTTGCGACGCAATTGGAAAAAACATTGCAATAAAATTACCTAAATATAAATGTGCGACAAAAATTATAAAATCGTCGCAATAGTACCCTTTTTGCGACGTTTTTTATTCGTAGCAAAAAATGATTTTTCATGTAGTGACTATAAGGGAGACTCTTGCTCATTAGAGAATTATATTACTTAAGAAAGAAGATAGTTGTTACAAGAGAATCGTCTTGAAGCCTTTTACAAAGTATTGCCTAGGTTGTTATTGTTGGAATCCATTTCTCTATGATGTCGTTAGCTATTTATACGTCTTGTTGTTAGGGTTTCGTGGTAGTTTCTTTTCTGGCCGATTCTATGGACCTCTATGAGGCTGGGCCGCAGTCTAGCTCGAACCCAATGAGCGCTACCTAGGTGAGGCATTTGGGGTCGTCTTAAATGAACCCCAACAGGTTTTGGGCTATGTCAATTAAGTCTTTGAACTTTTTTTGTATCAATTGAGCTACTGAACTCTCTAATTATATCATTTGAGCCCTTTTGTCTGTCTCCGTTAGAGTTTGTCACTCACGTGACTATATGGTGCAAAAAGATAAAATGGCTCAATTGACACAATTAGATAGTTCAAGAACACCATTTATACAAAAAAAAAAAAATTCAGGGACATAATTGACACAAGAGTCATAATTTGAGGGTCATATTTATAGATTACTCCAATTACTTGCGTCACGTGAGTGGCACATTTTGCCGCTTGCTGTTAGAAAATCTAACGGAGGAAACAGAATGTCTTAACTGACACAATTAGAGAATTCGCCGGCTCAATTAACAAGAAAAAATTCAGAGACTTAATTGACACAACAATCATAGTTTAAAAGTCATATGTCTAATTTACTATTTAATTTAATAGTTCACTGCCTTTTATTCTTCTGGTTGTTATTCTAGTAATATTTTGCATAATCTTACTCCGATTTCGTAGTATCTTGCATCGTTTGTTCGAGTGATCCATGCTGCAGGTCAAAATTTTGATAATTTGATATTTGGGTTATTATTTGCATTTCACGGGCTAATTTCTTGGTTGAATTTCTCTCATTCACCGATCAATATCGATTTCAACAACTAATTTTATCTGACCAAAAAAAAAACCAAGTAATTTTTATACGGACTATTTAGATCAGAATGTTGTGTAGTCCCTGGACGCAATTCAAAATGATTTTTTTGGAGGCAGCAGAATATTTGGTGTTTGTGGATTTGACTATAGTATCGAAAAAAAAAATCAATATCATAGCTTCATTTATCACATTTATGATTATTTTTATTATATTTATGAGTACTTTCTTAAAAAATAGTAAAAATAGTTACTACAACAACAGTAAAAACATCCACAAATTTGTTAAAAACACCCGCAAAAGTAATTCCACAAAAGTGATAATTTTTTTGGTTATAAAATGACCTACAAAAATTATAAAAATACTTTTTTGAAGTAATAAATTTTAGAGGTATGATTTCAAATTTTTTTTTACGTTACTGTAGTCAAATCCGGCGTTTGTATACCAGGTGTAAATAAGCATGTTGCATCAAATTAGAAAGCAGCGACCTTATTCTTTTGGTGATCATAAATGTCGACTGGGTTAAGTTTCCAAGCCATGTTAGAGAAGTGTAATATTATTTGGACTTAAAAAAATTGATCTAATTTGTTAGGCTAATTGTGAGATTTCAAATTTTTAGAAGTAGTTTAAGCATAATTATGTGGATTAATTGCAATTATGTGAAATTATTTATTAGGTGTAATTTTGTGTATAAAAATAGTATTGGGTTAATTTTGAAATTACTTAAGAATTTAGAGGGAGACAAGCATAATTATTAAATTTACATGAAATATCTTTACATGTGTTAGCATATGAAAAAGGGTGGGTTATTTTAAAAGTCAAGTGCACGTGTGTGTGCATGTCGGGTGTGTGTGTGTACTTTAAAGTATAGAAAATGTGTGTGTGAGTTGCTAAGGTGTAGTAATGTGTATGTGTATTTTGAGGCGTAGTAAAGTGTTTGTTTAAATAATAATTTAGTGTGTGTGTGTTTTCTTCTTATCGAACCAAGAGTGAGAAAGAGTAAACAAAAAGAGGAAAAAATATGTGTGTGTCCATTTGAGCCGAGAACAAGGAGGAAGAGAGGGAGAGAGAAAATAAATCTTGGTGGGTGTTTTTAATTCCAATCGAGAGAGAGAGACAAAGAGAGGGAGTTGTCAAGCCGAAATAAAGAAGAGAAAAAGAGAAAAATGGGAAGCAGAGGGCTAACCGAAAGTAAGAAGAATGAAACAGAAAGTTGAGTTATCGAATTCAAATAATGATTCTGAGGTACGGGATGGTATGCAATATGCTCTCTTTAAATCTCTTTGCAAAGAATATTTTCTTGACTATCCTCTAATTTGTATTCCAACTTGTACTATCGTTATTTTAGAATTTCGATTGAATATCATTGAATATTTTGATCTCATTGATCGTGTTTTACGGATATTGAGACGGGATCGTGGCAGCCAAGAGACCTGTGAGATCAAGTTGAGGTGAGATGATTGGTGAAGTATCAGATCTGTGTTAAGATCCTGTATAATATGTGATATGCAAATATGATATTTGTATCTGTTGATTGAGATACTTTGTGATACTCGATTATTTATTATTTAATGTCCTTGAGTATATTTTTCCTCATCATATTATATACTTCTCCGCTTTATTTAATATTTTTAAGTTGATTTTAGAGAAAATATCATAACAAGATAATCAGAGTATTAAAGACGAGGAAATGTCGATGTAATTGATGTTTTAATCATATTGACAGATTTATTTGTATTGGGGGATGATTTTGATAAATGAAATTATATTGGGATAATTAGTGCTCTATTATTGTTATTTATGTGTTTTTATATCAATTAACGTCTCTGAAAAGAAAAGAAAAATCAGGGCGTTAAAAAAGGTATCAGAGCCTAGACTTCAAATCTTATATGGAATTTGTGGAAAGTGAGTTCACTGTGTCTTCGTTGTGAGATCAAACAACTAGGAGAAAGAAGAAAAAGAAAGCTTGGTGGTACAAGTTCTGGACGATTGGAAAAGATGAAAAGATAGTGGAATTGGTGTGGTATATAGCAGAGACTTTCGGTTTAGTAAACTGAGAGAAAGTTAGTATAATTACACATTGAAAATATTCTTTTGAACAATAAACACTTTATATTCTTTTTCTTTCTCGTGTTACACATTGCACCCCAACAAATTTTGGGATTCTTGGTGAACTAATATGTTTCCAGCTTTTGGATAATTACTTGAAGGTCCCCTTATTTGTAAACATATTACATATATATTTAACTCATGAAGGATGTAGAAAAAAATATTCATGGGTTAATAAATTAAGTCACAGTAACATTGCTCGTTAGAGAATTATATTCATGGGGTTGAAGCTTTAGCTTCTAGTAATAAGCCAGTTACCCTGTTAAGTATGAGTATTAATTCAACCAAAAGGCTTTGTAGCCTAAAATTACTGGATTTAGTCCCACCTCAGACTCTCCAAAAAAACACACTTCCTTAATTGAGACCAAAAATTCTCTGCTCTGTACTTTTACAGTGTTCTTTTGATTTTCTGATTTAGTTCTGCACAAATGGACAGGGACTGGACCTTCAGGAGGATAAGTTGTCTAGATATTTCTTTTCTCTGTTGCACCAAGCACTTAAAGTCCCATAGAAATCTTCTTTGTTTATTATTTCTCTTTTTTGATTATTGATCTCACTCGACACATATTGCTCTATTGCTTTAGAAAGAGTTCAAATCAAAAAGAAGTCGGTGACTAGACAAAAATCTGCCGAAATTGTTGTCTATTGCTCGACTCTGGTGATGTTTCAGGGGCATCCTAACGAACCTCAGTTAATCAAAACGAAAACGTCTCGAAACCAGATTCCAAAGTGATGTATTTTGTAGTGAATTGACATCTTAATTTCCCTTGGTTTAGTGCTATAATTGCTTAACTGGTCAGATTTCCACCATAACTTATCTATTATTTCGTGTATTAAATCAGCTATGGTTGTACTAGATGGCATGGCTTGAACTGTATGCAAATTATTTCAGTATCTAATCTGATGCATTGCATTTGATCAAAAAAAAAATAATTCTGATGCATTGCACGCCACATCTGCCAGGAACAGGATGCTACCCCTCATGAAAGTCCTTGAGCATTAAAACGAAGTTCAGCCGAGGAAAGTTTTTTTTTTTGGGTAAGTTCAGCCGAGGAAAGTTGATGCCCAAATACGAGTGCCTAATTGGAGCCAGTTAACATCTTCTAGAGAACAGTTCCTCATGCTACAAGAATGCAAAATTCCGTAAGACATCAATTAAAGCTGGGGTTCGCCTATCGGTATACATACAAATGTGATTGCTTGCAGGCCCACAGACCACCACAAACAAGGGATGGAGAGAAAGCACTACCAGCAAATATCTAGTGTGTTTAAAGATGTTTAGCTCTCCAATCAACTGCAAAATTCTCCTCACTAATGTCATCACTTGATGATTCATCAGTGCTAGATTCTTTGCCCAGGACTCGAGTACCTCTGCTATGGGTGGCTGACCTAGCAGCCTTAAGCTCCATTTTCTTTCTCTTCAGCCTTTCAACTCTCTCCTTATAAGCCCTGTGAACAAGGAGAGGAATGAAGTGCGAGACACAGAGTGTTCAAAAAGGGCCGCTACAATGAGATTAAAATGTATAGACTCTTTTTCGCCACAAAAAAAAATAAAAAACTTTACCCTTGTTCCACAGACTCTGCCTCTTCTATCGTCTCAGCTGCATCAAACTGCAAAAAATAATCACAATGCAAGGTTAATGGAAGAAGTCTGTTGCGTGGGTAGAGCTCATGGTTGGCTGGAATAACAGTTCAGAAAAAGGTGGAGAAGCTGATAGTCCTAACCTCTTCTTCTTCCAAACGATTGTCGACCTCCTGCAAGTCCTGCTGGATCAACTTTTCAAATTCCTTATACTCATCTCTACATAAGATTTTGCCGTATATCAAAGGTTATGATTTGTTCCGTGTAGCAGACCAAAAATAGAAGGTAACGGGCATAATTGTCAACAGCTGCAATAGACCACGACATACAGTGCATAGGGTTTGTAAAGTGCAGTCTTTAAAATACCAATGTGTGATATCAGCAAATAACAAGTTCAATGGTTTAATTAGCACCAGAGAGAGAGGTGGTCCTGATCAACAACTCACGACAAGTGACAACTTCACATGTTCATCATTTTCACACAACCTATTCATGAGGTAAATAGGTAATTGGACATGAATGAGTAAAAAACTGGGTTTTGTGTGGTTAAGTGTGTCCTGACTGCTTTAGCATTCAATCTGAATCAAACTCATCTTCAAAGCAACTTAAACAAAAATAAGAAAGAGAAAATACATAAAATTATTAACCTCAAGAGCAAATCCAAATTTTTACCTTGTAGAGGACCAAAGTCTTAATATTGCCATATATTCTATTAAAATCTTAGATCATCACAGTCACTCTGGCATGTGTTAAGTCTCACATGAGATCGGAATCGGGAAGATCTGGATTTTATAAGCAGGGGAAAAGGAATCCAAATGTGGGAAACACTTCACATAAAGGTCCTGGCATTGTGCCATGTGCCCCTGGCCCCTGGGCACTGGGGACAGGTTCCTCGCAGAGCTGTGGGTTCCCTAGTGAGGAAGCTAGGGATTGGATGGGGCATATGCTACTGTCGCACAAGAGTAGGTTGAGTCCCACTTCAGGTGTAACTGAAAGATCTGGGCTTCATAAGCAACAGCAGACAACCCAAATGCAACAAACCTTTTTTGGGTGAAACTGGCCCATGAAATTCTGTGTAAGGGGTAAAGATGTAAAAGTGAGACTACTAAAGAGTGGAAGCCAAGTTCAAATCTTATCAACACCTACTTAATAATCACGTAAATCTATGTAAATGATTCTTTGGCAATAAAATAAAGCATTAGAAGTTCGAACTTATTTATTGAAGCAAGCAACTTCTGGCCAGATAGATGCACACGTGAATACAAGCATCTAAAGTGTCCCACCAAAGATGTATACAGCTACAACAACTAATCGATTCAAAAATGTCTAGCTTAATATGTTGGTTCTTAACAATGAATATCTGCGGAAATAACGGCAGCTGAATTCTCCAAACGTGTATTCAATTATTATCACAATAAAAATAAGGTCTTCGCTACACATAATTGGCAGCTTCTGGCCCTGCATAGTTCATATGAACATGTTCAACTATGCTTAAAAACAAATGCTAGGTGTTGAGTTCAAACATAAGCAGCTGCTAGAATATACTATAACTCAAGAGGAAAAAATTATTATACCAACCACTTAATTGTTTAGGGATAAAATATAATAAAAATGGAAAAATTATCACACAAGTAGTCGACTGAGGGAGTCAACATAAACACAGAAGAAGTCAGGGACCTTCCCTCTTTTGGAGCCCTGATATTATAGTTCTTCCGAGGGCACATCCACCACCTCATCATCACAATCAGTCTCAGACATATATGAATATCCATTTCAGTCTGCCTCAGATTGAACCACAAAATATGCCTAGCTAGAAATAATGTTACTAGCACAATATTTCATTACAACTCTACGATTTTTAAATTACTTCAATCATCTTTCAAATATGTCATTACAAGCGACATTTGACACCAAACACATCTATATTTCAGACTTCAGAGGACTGAGTTCAATAGTTGAACAGTTGATCACTCGCATAACTGCAATACCACCATTAGCCATTGAGGAATGCACAATCATCACTCCCACCAACTACCAAGAATTGATCAGCAGTACTTTCAATGAATTATAGACACATGTCCTGGATAGGTCATTCATCAATAAAATTGAAAACAAGGGGGATGATGATGACAACACAGAAAAAAATGGTATCATCTTGGCGCTTCCAAACATGTTCACAGTTCTTTAAATAATCTACTGCTCAGAAAACATCAAAAATCTGTTCAGATCTCAATTTTCTTCACACAAATTTCAGACTGTAGTGAAGCCTTGTTTTTCAAAGATGGTGGCTAAAAACTACAAGACAGAATATCGACAAACAAAATGACAACTTTAAAAGAGCATTATGATTATCAAATCCATCAACTCTAAACACGGCATTTACAAAAATTAAGTTACCACCAGCGTAAAAAAATAAATAGAAACATCAAGATGCATAATTATGTAGAAATAAGAACTAACTTGACATCTGGCTTGATAGGCGTAATGCCACGTGCACGAAGATCAGAATCTTTGTCATCAAAGAAGCCTTCAGGAAGTGCGCCTTTGATATGCTTACTTTCTGAGCCAACAATCATGTTTGACGTTTGTGTTTTCTCCATGGCAGGCAGAATTTCATCACTTTTTGGCTCCATAACATTAACACTAGATAATCCATTTGTCTTGTTCTCGGAGTTAAACAGCTCCATCACTTGAGATTGAGCAAAACCCTGCGACTTTGTGTGTGGTTCAGGGTCTCCTAACAAAGCAGAAGTAGTTCCTAAAAATATATAGTCAGATAAACTATTATTAACAAAACAAAAGTCAGACAGTCACAGATCTTAAGCTAAGCTAAAAATTCAGTATTTTATGTACTTGGACTACAACAAAAACTAATAGTTCATATTTCATTGAAACAATAGCAGCTAGATAAAGATAAACAACCACATGCCTACAGTCAAGAGCAATGTCCAAGCTATAATGACATAGTAATCCTGTAAAATATACCAAAACACACATACACAATAGTATACCAAAACACACACACATTAGTATACGAAAACACACACACACACTAGGACCCGACCTCGGCCCGACCCCAACTCGGACCCCGGGTCTGATCCTGACCCCAACCCGAACCCAAACCCTTTTTGTGTGTGTGTTATATTTTGTGTGTGTTACAGTGTGTGTGCATTTTGGTGAATTATGTATGTGAGTTTTTTGGTATATTAGTGTATGTTTGTTTTGGTGAATTATGTATGTGTGTTTTTAGATATATTAGTGTATGTTTGTTTTGGTGTATTAGTATTTGTGTGCGTTAGTGTATAAGCATGTGTATGTGTCTATGTTTTGGTGTAATAGTGTATGAATTTTGGTGTATTAGTGTGTGTGTGTTTTAGGTTATTAGTGCGAGTTTGTGTGTTTTGGTGTTTTAATGTGTGTGTGTGCGTGTTTTTTTTTTTTGTGTTTTGGTGTATTAATGTGTGTTTGTTTTGGTGTGTATGTATTTTTTTGTGTATTAGGGTGTGTTTTTATTTGATATATTAGTATGTGTTTATATTTAGAGTTTTAATTACTTTACTGGTTAATGGATTTAACCCAACTCACTTTGAATCAACCCATAACCTGCCTATTTGCCACCTCTACATAAAACCATAATTGTGTAGTAAATGTAGAAAACAAAAAAACAGTAACAAAAAGGGAATATCACAACTGTCATCTGTCAAACTAACAAATTATTTTCTTTAGCTACCCTCCCTAGTGACTCTCTTGCAAACCCACACTTCATACCGAACAATTGAAGTTTCCACTACACTTTGTCAACCAAAAGAGCTATTGAACATGGCCAAAAAGCAAATGTCATCTTTAGGATTCTAAACAACTTAGAGATGATATTCATAGATATTAGGCTGCAACTCTTTAGGATGCTAAACAACTTATGATATTCATAGATATTAGGCTGCAACTCTTTAGGATTCTAAACGACTTAGAGATGATATCCATAGATATTAGGCTGCAACTATAATTCTCAAACATAAGATTGCACACCTGACATGGATTTTTTGTTCAGGAAACCAGAACACAATTATATTTTGGTTTACACACTACTTTAGTAAAACTAGAACAACTGTAGATTATATGGTCATAGGTAGGCTTGTCAATGAACCGGATTTCAACCCGAATCCAATCCAGATCTATTTAAGTAGATATGGATTAGATTTTCAATCCATTAATCCGATCCGATTCGAATCCGATTAGAGTTGTCTAAACAGATTTGAATATGGATTTATAATAATCCGATCTGAATAAAAAAAAATATATTATGCAAATAAATATCATAAATATATTATATTTATATTGAAAAACAAGTAAAAATAGAGTGAATATCACAATGTAAGACCCACTTTTTCCATTTTCATTTTATTTCCCTCTCTTATCTGGTTTTCCCTTTTGCTTTCACTTCAAATTTTCATTTTTCCCTCATTTTTTCAGTTCATTATCCAAATTCTTATTATTAATTTTTTGATGTACGTCTGATTTTTGTGATAATCAGATCTGATCAGATCGGATTTTCGGATCATGTATTCGAAAATTAATAGATTCAGACATGGATTGAATTTTTTAAATCCGTCAGATAATGGTATCAACAAAAACTTAATCAGATTCGAATATATGACAATCCAGTCCATACCCGATCCATTGACTGGCCTAGTTATAGGCTCAACGAAATAGCTAATATTCAGCACTAAAAGTATAGAGACTTGGATGTAAGGAAAAATAAATAATAAACTCCAGCAACAGGCTCTTACCATTTTTTTGCCTCTTTACCTCACGATTATTGAAAAAGTCTGAAGGAAGAACAGAGGATGGCCGGGGCTTAGCCAATCCAGTGGAATTTTCAGTTTTATTGTTTTGCGAGTATATAGGACGTTCAGCTTTAGGTTTAGGCAGCTCAGTAGATGGCTCAAGCTGCTTTACATTGTTAGCCCGATTTAAAGCAGCAGCATTAGCTCTGTAAGTATTGATTGCCTGTCCAATATAAGCAATGTAAACCCCAATTGAGTCAGACCAAAAGAAGCAAATTTACAAAGAATACTCTATACGATTGAGGCAGGAACATTCAAACATTCAAACAATAACTGGAAATTTTATTTAAAAATGTGAAGATCTAGGATTTACGAAATGGACAAATTTGAAAGATCAATATTATGATCTATTGACTTTGCGAATTCTCTGCTCTGTTTTCCCAAGATTATACCAATCCAAGGAATCCAAAATTCTAAACTTTTCAAGTACCTAACCACTGAAGAAACAAACAAGATAGAAACGCCTATGAGACAAATCTTTGTAGACGTAAGGAAATAGACATGGTCATGAATGCAACCTATTTACTGAGGATCCTCAGCGGTTAGAAAATTAACAGCAGAGGTATTATTGATTAAAATAGCGTCATTTTGAAACATCGCTATTTTGTTAAATAGAACATCGTTTTGGTATAAAACAATATTTTAAGCAACACAGAGGAGCTGGACCCTTCATGCAATACTGATGACTCCATAATCCGGAAGTCAGAACTCATAATAATCATTGTACAAAAAAATTAGCAACTCCATAATGACCAAAAATAAGAAAATCATCTAATAACAACATTCATATTGAACAGGTATAACAAACCCATGACCCAATTGAGATTTTAAAACCTTCACCTCTTCCTCTGGGAATGGCAGGAGATCTACCTCAAGCTACCTGCTGGCGCTTATCATGGGGGTCACGAGTAATCAAAACATTAAATCAGGTATAATTATATTTCACATGTTCTTCTTGGGGATTCTCATCTTCCACACAAACAATTAGTTGGGTTTGAACGAATTAGAGTATTACCTCGTTATGTTTCCGAGAAGCTTGGTGAGCTGGCCAGTGGGAGTCGGATTTCAGAACAAAATCGCAAACCCTACACACAGGCTGATCATTTTCATTGTACCTACAATATTTTCAAGAAAAAAAAAACAAATACTGAAAAATATAATCAGAAACTTCATGATCAATAAACCAATTTCAGCTATTACAATCTCATCGTCAGTAATTCAATTAGATTAGACACTGAAAATATACGGTAAATGCTATAGGGCGAAGCGAATTACCTCACAAGAGGATCTTCAATACGTTTCTCCTTCTTCGACGCATTCAATTTAGCACGAAACAAGGCCTTCTGTCTTGCTGCATCCACCATTATTATCTCAGGCTTCGTCGCTTCTCTGAAGTCGTTACTCCAACGCGAATATGAGAGACTGTGAGTTAGGGGGATCTAAGCTGTTCGGAATGGACTGTGGGTCGGCGCCCGGGGGGGTGTTTGGAGAGTGGTGGCTATGGTCCTTATGGATCACTTATGGCGGTGATGGGTGGAGAGAGGTAGGGAGAGGAAGTAAAGAGAGAAAAGACACGAGGAAGAGAAAACACGAGAGGAACGAGGGTAAAAAAATAGAGAGAAAACGAAGGGTAAAATTTTTTTAATCCCTAGTTAGGCTTTAGGCCATGCACATTAGTCCGTGTGGTTTTAAAATTATGCACATAACTACATTTATGCTATTGAATTAAATCATAATTATTATAAATTCTGTATAATTTGACTGATTTTCTCAAGATGACAAAATTTTGAAAAAATTATTAATGAGTATTATTTTTTTCTATAATATTCATTAAGTCCTATCATTTTTATTTTACATCAATGAAGTCCTATTTTCAATATTTTATTTTCTATAAAATTTCAACACCCTTATATTCTAATTTTACACTTGACCTTTAGTTACCAAATCTTTTTTATTTTTTCTCGTATGTCACTACTCCAGCAGCAAACTCTCGGTAGGACTTTTCTATTATTATTTGTTCTCTTGCTCAACAACAATGAGGTTTTTTTTTTTTTTTGTGGAAATTATTGATTAGAATTTGTATTATCATTTTCTTCTCACTTTTAGCTCATTGGAAAACGGCTAGAGCTAAAAAATTCGCAATTGTTGTGTATCAACTTTTATTTAATTCAATTTTATGTTTTTTTAGAGTAGATCAATTGTCATCCATTTTTATTACATGAGTTAATTTACTTAATTTTTTTAGAAGCAACGTCGCGTTGTTATCGAAACTATTGTTACAAACATTTAGATGCTCAATTTTTATTAAATGAGTTAATTTACTTAATTTTTTTAGAATCAACGTCGCGTTGTTATTGAAACTATTGTTACAAACATTTAGATGCTCAATTTTTATTTAGGTTAATAATATGCACTTCAATAAATTACAAACACAGGACATTGATGAGGCTAGTAGCAGCGAAGTTTTATGGGATGGGCAATTTGATTGGTCGTGGAATGTTCCTAATAAAATTGAACATTTTATTTGGAGAGTGCTCCATGATATTTTGCCAATGATTTGTAATCTTCAAAGGAGGAAAGTTCCAGTGGATGACTTGTGTTTCTTGTGTGGATCAACTCCAGAAAAAATTTCACAACTCTTTCTAAAGTGTCCTTTTATGTTGGAAGTGTGGCGTTATTCGAATATCAACTCTTTCTAAAATTTCCTTTTATGTTGGAAGTGTGGCGTTGTTCGAATATCAACATTCCCCAACATGAGATACATACCATTCAGAAGTGACTAATTTTTGTGGCTAATAATCATCCTTCTCATGATGTGAATATTTTGATGACTCTAGTATGGTCAATATGGTATAATAGGAACAAAGCTTGCCTGAACGAAGAGGTACAATCTCCCCAGAAAATTGTCGATTTCTCTATTGCATATTTAGCCAATTACCTAGAAGCCCAAAGTCAGAATCTACATTCTTCTTGTGTACACAACGACAGCAGTGCCAGGAACTGGTCTTTACCGCCTTCGAGTGTGGTCAAAGTTAACTTTGATGGCGCTACTTTCTCTTCAGAAAAATTCGGTTGCAATTGGGGTAGTTATTAGAGATCATTTTGGAAATTTTGTGGCGGGTTTAGCTGAAAGGGTTAAAGGCAATCTTCGTCCGGAGAATGTTGAAGAGGCGGCTACTCTCTTGGAAATTAAGCTTGCCATCGAATTGGGTCCTAACAAGATGATATTGGAAGGCGATTTGAAAAATATTATCAATGCCATTGGACGAAGGGATCCAAATTCCTCTGGTATTGGGATGTTTATCGGTCATGTACAACCCGACTCATTTTCATAATAATATATTCAGAGCGCTAATAACCTTCACAACCACTAAATGATACAGTCTTCAAATAATTAATAAACTATGATACAAATTTCATATATATTTCAAACATGTACATCCAGCCTATTATAATTTACACGTTACGTTTTAGATATAATACACTATTCAGTTTTAACTCCTTACTACAAATAATAATATAACTCAATGTTTATAACGTAACACATGTTCAGCTATTCAATAATCGCCAACAAAAATTGGCAGTTCAAATAATCACAAACTTTCTTATTACCTGGTAATCTGAAAAAAGAGAAATATTGTAGGGTGAGCATCAACAACTCAGTAGAGTAACTCAATGTCAAGCAAACGAGTTTGAAAATAGCATAATTTGGCAAGATTGAGCAAAAGCAAAACAAACATTTGATACATATATAAGAGAAACAACGTCATTTCAATAAAATAGTAGTATTTAAGTAAAACGATACAGTAAAAGAAAGTTCAAAATCATCAAGTACAATGCAACACTGGTGAGCAATAATTCTAATAGACCATTCAGGGTCAAGACGATCCATACGAACATACAATCTAATAATTTAAAGGACTTGCACCCTAAGGAATATACATTCCCAAGTCAATACGATCAAATTCAGTACTTAAGTCCAAAGACCAACAAAACCATCCAAGCATTTATGAACTCAATGAGAAACCCTCTACAGCCTCAACCTGGAACGTAAACTATCTTCCACTCAAACCTGTGTGCATTTACATTTCATTTAAAAGGACCCAAAGTTTCAAATAGTACCAGTAATACAATCAATATGATCATTTCAAATATTAGTGCGAACCGCACTCAAAAATTCTAATCCGGGTCTAGATCTTAGTTAATATTTAAAACATTCAATCATCTACTTTAAAATATGCTAAATTATCATAAATAACATATGGAATAATTTAGAAACAAATTTGAAAAGCATTGTCTGTTCTTGAATTAAGAAACCCTACTAGTCTCGGTAGTTTGATTTGAAATAACCAAAAATTAACCAGTGTTATTTTTTGATAAAATTCAACCCACATAATCCATTTAACTAGTTATACATGAATATAAAATTTATTTAACAAAAATCATCCAAAAACTGGATCAATTTGGCTTGGGAGGTCAAAAATAGTCATTTTGCTCCTCATTTTGATCTGGTTGTTGGATCAACTTAAAGTTTTACTTGAACACTTGCACGAACGTTGCGGAACTTTTTGGCATCACCCAGAGTACCATAGGACGTCGGACACGCCCTCACATGCACACGGGGTGCACTGGTGTACCTCTCTTTACTTCATCGTCTTCCCCAAGAAATCTAATGTGTCCTCCTACCAACCTTGACACCCCCCTACTTCTCACCCTTGTTTCTCACTACTCAGTACACCTTTTCACCTAAGTCTACTAACTCACCTCACACCCCTCCGTAAAATCCCATAGCTGAAATACCTCGAATTAACTTCTAATATATCTAAATATTGAACAAAAGTTGGAGAAAAATAAAGTTTACTAAACATGACCAGACCTGCAACTTGAGTTTTAACCCCATTAACAATCTCTAAACTCAAATCTAACGATGGAAATGGGTTCATTGGGTCTATATTGGTCTAGGACCGTATCCCTCCAATATCAAAACATAAAATTTAATAAGGTTTGATTTTTCCAAAACCCTTGAAACCCTTACTCGGTTTCACACCTTAAACCACCACCACCAACCATGGCGATCCTCCAAATCACCACCCTCCACGCTTTCTAACACCTAGAAACTCATCCCCAAGCACAAATCACATCAAAACCTCAAGAATCACCAAACCCATTTCAACCCATTTTTAAACCCAAATTTTCAAAACTAAACTTCATGCATAAACAGTGCTCAAAATGAAATTTAAACACCATAATCAAACTACTAAGGCCCTAATTCGTTAATAAGGATACCCTTTATAGCTCAAGCAAGCTTCTACCGAATTTTTGCTCTTCACACTTTCTTTCTTTCTCAAATTTCTCCATCGGTTTCTCTCACTACAAACGAGTTCTATTTTCTCTAGGGCTTTGGATGAAGACATGGGCATTTTCTCAGCACCTCTGGAAGCTTGGGGAAGGACGGGGAGCCCTCAGGTGCAGCCAGGCAGCTACTTTGGGAGAAATGTCATGCAATGGCATTTTTATAAATAACTCAAAATTCAAAAATAAAATTTAAAATAAAATTTTTTTTATAATCAAATATACATTAAAACATGTCCTAGAAAATTATCCATTTAATTTTTAGGGTTCTAAATCACCTCCAATTTCCATTTTCTGAAAACCAAGTCTTTACAGACCAAGTTCATGAATATGCTAGTTCACTGGTGGCTTTTCCACAAGATGGATTAGAAAAGATGGTAATTCAATTGCAAATTGTCTATCAAAGTTTGCTTTGAATTGTAATGAGTCTAAGAGCTAGAGAGGACTATGTCTTGAGTTTTTTGTATCATCTCATTCATAAGGATGTTCTGCCTTGTTGATGAATTAATATTATTCTGTTGTTTTTTATTAAAAAAAATAATATTCACTTCAATTGTGATTCTAAAAACACAAAGCACTAGAGTTCTCATCATGAAACTCTTCTCCATCGAGAATATATAGGGTCTTAAGCCCTCCATTGCATCTCATAATGACAAATCTAAAAAATATTAATCTATATAATAAATTAGTTTACAATTAAAATTTCAAAAGATAAACAAAATGACTTTTGCTATTCGCAGTTGAGATCGCTTTAAATTTTACTTTAAAGTTAATCTAACAGTTAATATTAACACCCTAAATTTAATAGAAAAAATAGGTCTCTAAGGATGTGTTTGGAGTGATTTTTTAAAAGTACTTTTACAAATTATTTTTCATAAGTACTTTAAAAAAAATAATAGTGTTTGAAACTGCCCCACCACCGCTACCATCACCGTCACCACCGCCACCACCCCACTATCGCCACCACCACTGCCACCACCATCGCCATCGCCACCACCACTCCCACCCCCACAGCCACCACCACTGCCACCACCACCATCGCCCCCATCACGGTCTCCTACTGCCTACCATCTCTCACCCCATTACAAACTGATGCTTAAATTCTTTTATCTCTTCTTTATGTTTGTGATTTGATTTTGGATATGAATACAAATATGTTTATTGTTTATCATTTTTTAGTACACTATGTCTTCAGGCACATACAATAACTAGTAATTGAATATTTC